ATTTAAGGTTTTTTTCCCCCACTATTGTATACTAAAAATGTTGTGGGCAACTACCCCTCTGCCCGAATATAACCCTCAGAGAACAATACTTACCCTCAGCTACTTACTGCGCCACCCTGCCCTGTGCTGTACAGCCTTTGCTAAAAAATAAAAAAAAACACATCCCTCCCAGGCTCTGCACTCACCAGTCAAGATTAACACAAGGCAGCCTTATTCATTTCTATGCCTGGTCTGCATTCATGGAAGGAAGTGTCATCCAGGTGTATGGACCCAGCCATAGCAAAAAAAAAAAATGGTGCTGCAGCACACAAGTGCAGTGGTTGCCCTGCGCAGCCAGGGCTGTATTCAAGCAAAGATGTGTGGTGCCAAGAAGGAACGTTCAGTAATAATATTCAGACTGGGGGGGCAAAGGTTGGCATTACCCTCTGTATAATGGGAAGAGGGGGAGCTGTATTGAAAGAGAATTTGTTTTGTAATGTATGTTGCCGAGGTTGCAGCCTATTGTGTCACTTCTAGCAACTGACAAAGAACAGCGCACAGCAAATGAAATTCAGAATCCCTAGTTTGAATAGGTTCTAGGTTAGTGACTCAAACAGGGTTATTCACAAAAGAGTGAAGAGTTTGGAGAAGGCAGGAGTGAACAATCTAGTCCAAAATAGTTAAACTGGAATATGAGCCGACATGGAGAATTTTTCTAAATCGGCTATGTTGTCCTAGATGGTTCACTTCTCCTGCCTTCTTCAAACTCTTCACCCTTGTGTGAATAACCCTGAAAGTATTCAGAGATAAGCCGGACAAACAGATACCAAACATTTTCTGTAAAGCACAGAAATGACAGCTGTGGTACTGTCGTATTTCTAATAGATGATCAGCAATGGCAGACCCCAGTATTCCTCTTATGAGAGGTCAAGTCGCCAGACGTAAGCGACCATGACTTTTAGGGCCTGCGTCAACAGGCTTCTTTTCCCTTCAAGCGGGTTTTGCATTTCCCTACAAGTCCATAGAAATGTAAAACCTCCTCGAGGAAGGTCAAATAAAAGGTCAGGTCGTCAACTTCAGGTCAAATGCATCTGTCAATGTATTCTGAATGATCTCAAACGGATATCAGCACAAACCCAAAGCCCTTTGACACTGGCTCTTACATAATTTTTTTGCAATGCACAAACATGTGCAATCAACAGTGAAACATCTGCCATCCTCCATGGTAACCCACAGGACATCTTTAGAGCAAAAAAGATGGACACCTAATGGTCTTAAGTTTTCACGTGAGGTTAGACGCTATCAGACACAAACCAATATCATAGTTATAAAGACAAGAAGAATAGTTTAAACACACCAATCTCCAAGTTTTCAAAAACTAACTTTCCCAAATTGACAAAATGTTTAATTATATGGAATGCAAAGCTCCGTGATATTTCCCACTGGGAACCTTTGTGGAAAAAAGCAGATAAGATACCTGAAATGTTTCTCTATGTGGAGAAATAAAAAAAAAGTCTCTCTAGCCAAACGTCTTTTTGTATTGGATAGAGTAGGGAATTGTCAAAACCCCCAGCATTAAAATGTGCATGTATTGCAAAAAAGTGAATTTTTTAAATTTTTTTAGCCCTGACTTTAAACCTGAGCCCGGACAGAGGCCGACACCCTTGTTTTGAAGATTTTTCTAGTTTTTATTTTTAAGTTAAGGTGGCTCCTATTATTATACAGGATTTATATAGCGCCAACAGTTTGCGCAGAGCTTTACAATATAGGGAAGACATTACAATCACAATACAAATCAAGACAAGATGGTAAGGAGGGCCCTGCCCCTGAGGGCTTACAATCTAAAAGGGAGGGGGAAGTGATACATGAGGAGGGAGCTTCGTGGGGATGAATTGTTTGAGAACGTGATGGTTGAGCGGTTAGGTTGAGGTGGGATAGGCTTCCCTGAAGAGAGGAGTCTTTAGGGAATGCCTAAAGGCAGTCAAGGTGGGCGACAGATGGACAGGTTGGGGTAAAGAATTACAGAGAAGTCCTGGAGGCGAGCATGGGAGGAGTTGACAAGGGAGCTGGAAAGCAGGCTCCTATAAAACAAATAATCTTGATGGCTGCTGGACTGGACAGACTGGCTCTTAAATTCCATATCAATTTGCTACCCCTGCTTTAACATAAGAATGGCCCTTTCCAAAGAAATCCCTAAATATTTACATGCAACCATTTAACTATGTTTTTTCTATATAGGTTGAACTCGATGGAAATGCTTTTTTTCAACCTATGTAACTATGTATGTTCTATGGGAGAAGCTTATTACATGCCATAGCATCACATGAGATGCAGCCCACTGAAAGCCATTATCCTAATAACATGACAAACTATGCAGGATGATAACCCATGATCAGTACAATCACTCTTGATTTAGGCAGCACGAGTTGTGGGTATCATACCTGTGTAGCGGTAACATTCAACAATTGACTTCAACCTCAGGCACACTGAAAGGAAACCACTGGGATCCCACAAGACTGATAAATCAGAAAATCCATGCACCAAATGTTTAACAAACCTCTAAATTAAAATTGGTAGGCGAGTGACTGGCTATATGCTATTGGGTAGAGTGATACCAGCAAGATCCAATAGGGGGAGCTATGTTCTAGTGTACCTGTATTTCTGGAACCTCATCATTTATCTATTTGGCTCAAACATATAACAAATAAAATAGCATTAACTATACCATTAAAATAGTTTTGTTCCATCTGTGCCATAAGTGCAAACGCATGTTAATCATGCCAGAGATCTTATGAGCTGTTAACATCAGGAGCTCTCTACCTGTGCTGCAGTCAGAATTATTCTCATCTCTCTCTGAAGATTAAAGACTATTTTCAGGAGAACAGGAGAGGGGGAGGTATTGTGTAGTCCTAAAACATTTAATTACCTAGGGAAATAGTGCTGCTAATCAAATAAAGTAAAGTCACATACTGTCACCCTAGAACAAAAGGGGTTTTACTGACAGGATCACCAGGTGGAAATAGAGGGATAAAATGCCTGAATAAAAAAAAAAAAAACTAACAGAACCACCTTTTCAAAATAATGGTAAGCTGAACAACATTACATTTTTGGTTCTGGAGTCTAGATGCACTTAAACAATATTATCGAGGTACGACTTGAATTTTGATGTCCTCTGTATGGGACTACAAAGACACTTAGTACACATAAAGTGGAACTATATATCATTTTTGTGGCTTTAGAGTAAAATACAGTGGGGGGAATTTATCAAAACTGGAGCAGACAGATTCTGGAGCAGTTGGCCATGGCAACCAATCAGCATCTCTCTTCAGTTTGCTCAGGTAAGATTTCAAAATGAGACAGAAGCGGATTGGTTGCAGTGAAAATTCCCCCCTGTATATTTATTGGGCATAGCTATAAAATACAGATATCTGAATCAGGGGCACAAAGGTAAGTACAACTAACTTGATACATTCTTCTTAACGTGAACCAGATTGAGATCTATGAGGGCAAAAAAAGGCAGACATTCAGGGCTTATTCACACCATGTCCGGACCAAAACAATTTTTGTTCACACCTGAAATGCATCCCAATGATAATTTCCAGGCTTTGTTCAGTGCAGTCTGTTCCAGTGCAGGGGGAAAAAATGCTGCGTGCACAATTTTTTCTGGTCTGGAACGCACCAAAAAGCATGTAAAACACATGCAAATGCAGTGGACTGCACCTGAAAGCCCATTTGAAGCTTTTTTTTTTTTAAACGCACCAAGAACGCACTACATTTGCACTGCACCCAGATCTGGTATGGACATGGTGTAAACAAGACCTCTAAGTGCCCACCCCTGCTCTAGATACAAACTCCGGCCCTCCAGTTGTGGTCAAACTACAAATCCCATGATGCACCCGTCTGTGCCTATGGCTATGAAAATCTTGCAATGCCTCATGGGATTTGTAGTTCCACAGCAGCTGGAAGGCTGGATGTTGCCCACTCCTTATCTAGACCCATGAACAAAACTAATATATTGCAGCTTTCCGTCTTGAGATGACAGCATTGATTTTCTTTTTTTCAAGCTAAAACCATTTTCAGCAAGTACAAAAAGTACGGTACCTGTTAATCTTGCCAAAAATGCAGCGTCCGTCTCATTTAATATGAGAAGGATCTTTTTTCAGTAAACTATTAATCCCTCCACAAGCCATGTAACGGAGATGAACCAAGGCAGACAAGTTTGAAGTCCTAAATGGGTGACAATCATAGCTCCATCCACAAACACATATAGCAAGTGTGACAAGCCAGGGAAAGGAAAAAGATTATTCGTAGGATTACTAGCTGAAAGTAAATTAAAAGTGTGAATTTATATTTCCATACTTTAGACCATGTAATACACAATATATAGCATCACATTAATGCAGAAATAATAAACTATGACTTGATTCAACCAATTTAAATACAACACAATATAGCATGATGAGATGAAATATAATAAAGCAGTGACCTATGCAATCAAACTAGCCTCTGTTGGTCTGTTTCTCTCCTCTTTACAGCAGTACTGCAAAGTATGTATTTTGTAAAATTGCCCTTCACATCACTGCTTCTGGAGCAGACTGCTAAAAGACAACCAGTTTGCTATAACCCTGGCTGACTCTCCTGCATGGGTCAGCAGCTATTTAAAGATTAATTAAACTCAAGTATAAAGGAAGCGGGTGTCCTCATTCAAGCAGGCCCTCTAAGCACCACAGGTGATGACGCTGGGCATGCCGGAGAGGGATGACGCCTAGAATGACGTATCAGCTGTTCTGAGAAAAGCAGATTAACTATTTTCAAAAGGGTATTTTACCTTTCTGAGCTCCAGCTTTACTATAGTACAACCGTACTGGAGAGAATTGTTCTGGTTTTTTTTTTTAACTTGTTACAAGTCAGATTTAAAACGCTGTAGAAAGACGGCAAGGAAAAAAACAAAACACAGAGCAATAGTGTATTAAAATTTGTACACCGCTACTACAAATACCTTAACATTTTGCAAAGGATACATTTCTTCAAAATAATCGACGTGAGGTGGTTGGAGAATGTCAAGTGCAGAGAGTACCTGCAAAAAACAAACAAAAGTGAGTCCGCATTGTAGCAACAACACACTGCTGTGTATACATTTTTATAGCAAATAGCAAGGTTTACATTAGACAGGCTATTGGTCATTTGGGTATGGAGCTTATGCGTTATGAGGGGTGTTCCAGAACAGAAAAGTCTTCATTGAATACGGCTCACAACACCAAGAAATTCAGCAGCCATGCAGTAAGGTGTTTCAGTCCTCCCAGCAAATTTATAATGTAACAGTAATAACAGAAGGAAGAAAGATTCTTGTGAAATAGCCAATGAGATGCAGTCTGAAAGATTCTACCCAATAGCATCAAAACCAAACTTATCAGGCTTTGTTCCCACAGATGCTGGATGCAAAATGCTAAAGGTTGTTTCAGCTAGAGTTCAGGCTGCACTACTAAGGCTCTTCCAGAGCACTTGGCCAGTGAAGTGGATGCATTGTGCTCCTTTTATAGAGTCCGAGAACCACTATTGCCACTACTTTAGTTTTGCACAACTGTAGAAAACAATAGACAGCCTTTCCATAGAAATAAATGGTATTGTTTCAAATATGCACAGAAGGAGAGAGGGACTAGTCAGGGGAGTTTGCAGTAGTAGCTGTGAAGCGCTCTATGGGTCACAATTGGTCTGGAAGGAGCATGGTCATCTGAGAAGGGTTGGTTCACACCTAAGAATTGCAGTAAATGCACAATACCATTCAGGACACCTAGTGTGCATTAGGTGTGATGTAGTTTATTTGAACGGCACCCCAATACTGCAATACTGTGCGTTGCAGTGTGAGAAAGTAGTGCAATACTTTTCACTGCAGTGCAACATATCGTGGTAGCAAGCATCGACGGCTCAATGATGAATTAGGGGTGCCACTTAAATGGAAGACAACACAGTGACCACAAAGTACCACATGTTAGGTGCGATGTGCAATAGTGTGTTTTGGATAGAGCTGGGGATTACCCCCCCCCTCCCCTCCCCCTCCCGTCTGTGTGCGGTTGGTGAGATTTCCATTCACTTCTTGACAGAGAAACAGCAGAAGTAAGAGAACAGATATCACAGGTTTAACCATTAGTTAAATCCTCCTCACCCGTTTTAGAGACAACACAACGTTTTTATATATACCATTATTTTCTGTACCGGACCAACAGCGAGGAAGAATCAGCAATAAAAGCCAGGTAGAAATTCTAACATTCACATTTTTGTAAAGCGCTGAGCAAATTGTTGGCGCTATATAAAGCCTGTATAATAATAATAATATAATAATTTTATCAACAAATCAAAGAAAAAAGTTTTGGCTTTACATACATTCACGATTAGATCAACTGACAGACTCAGGTTTATGTTTGAAAAGGGTTGCACATTTTTAGCAACAAGCCTTCAAAGACAGGAAAAAAATAAGACTGCTACAACAATATATGGATAACAACAATGATTAATTAAAGGATGCAAAATATGAAAAGTATTACAACAATGCAAACTAAAAGAGGCATTGAACAAATCCATTGCACAATGTAACCTGAAAAACTGATAGGCGGTAAGGTTATGTAACACTGCTTACGCCACCTGACTGAGGCAGAATATTAGCTCCTGGTAATCTCATTAAGCAGTCACAAAGTTTAATTTAAAAACACACAGAATCCCCGTTGTACTGGCTCATACAGGAATTGCAATCCAAGGCTTATGCAACAAAACACTGTACTAACTAGGAGACATTACTGGAAATTGTGAAAGACATCTCACATACAACACTGCCAATCAAAAACTGTATCAATCTGAGAATAAGGTTAGTTACACAGTAATAATATTTTTCAGCCCCAGCTGAAATCATGAACTAAAAGAGAAACACTGCCCAGGTGATTGGTCTCAATGCAGACTGACTGCCCAAGAAGACGTCTCGTTGTTAAAGGGGTTCTAAACCCTCCGTTTTTTTGGCATATATCTACTGCTAGCAAGTAGTAGAAACTGCTCTGGCGGCCGCAAAGCATCTTGGGGCGGGCGCATGGGCAGTTCGGATTTTTGGTCGGGAGACGAGGAGAGACACAAGGTAAGTCTATGGAAGCGTGCAGCCGCATGTAGACATCGTGGGACAGGAAGTGCCAGCAAGCACAGAGGAGTCAGCGATGGATTGGAGTGAAGGCTGAAAACATCAGGAAAGAGGAAGATCGGATTTAAGGTGCCCATACACCGAGTAATCTCCACCTGGGCCAAAAGATTGAGATTACTCCATCCACACAGTTAAGTGTAGATGGAGGAATCTGTTGCACCTTTTCCATCTGACCACAGAAAATCTGCAGATAATTGTAAGGTGTATGGCCAGCTTAAGAGACATCATTTAAGGTAATTGTTTTACTTAACATAATGGGGGAGGGGGGGGAAATAATTTACTTTAATGTCACTTCAACTCTCCTAATCTTCAGATTTGGGCAGTCATAATGATGGCCAACTCTAATAGATAAGGGCTTGTGTGTGCCTGCCTTTATCATGCCGAAATCAATAAATAGAAAGTAGGAGAGTCTCACAGTTCTTGAACATGAGTGGATCGCAGTCCATCTTTGTTGCCATCGATAAAGATAGACTGTAACCCACTGAAACGTTGGACAAAATAAACTCCTCCAGTTTGGACATACACTGCTGTTCAAGACCCGTGAGCCTCTGCTGCTTTTTATTTATCTACTGTTATTACTCTGCTGCAGTGCAATGACATTTATGCCAGGACCAATAGATATGATCTGAAAGCTGAACACAGGTTAGTGCTATTTAGGGCAAACAATTGCATCTTCTATCCCAAATGAACAATATTTAAGTGTTGAAGAGTTGGCACTGGCCCACATGAGCCCACAGAGAGAATATAGAATGACCCTTCCCTGCAGGTAATCTGCTCCAGGATAGCAATGGATATTTGGTGTTAAAGGAGAACTATGAGGTGAGTGCTTTTCACTCACCTCATAGTTCTAGCCGACCTGTGACAATGAGACTGTCACAGGTCGGCTCAGTAGATCGGGAGGTGAGCGAACACATACCGGCGTTCGCTCACCTCTCGATCCTGTCACGGCTCTCTGCCGTGACAGGGGAGAGGCTGGATTCCCCTCTCCCCGCTCCGCCAGCGCTGACTAGCGGAACGGACGGGGGAGGGGGCGGGTACAGCTGGCTCTGCCCTTAGATAGGCAGAGCCAGCTGTCATTCACGCAGCTGGGCGGATCTCGACATCGATGTCGGGATCCGCTCCGGCGTCTAAGTATACCACGAGCTGTAGCTCGCGGTATACTGAGCCTAGGGTGACGGGAGGACGCTAGTTTGTGTCCTCCTGTTACCCTAAGGAGAACTATGGGGAAAAGCCCTGACCCCATAGTTCTCCTTTAAACATTATAATAACTTGATTTTTTTTTTTTTTATTGGGACAGCAGAAAGTGTAAAGTGCATCCAATGCATGGCCATTATCAAAAGTATGCTAGTATAGGTGCATCCCACTTTTAAAAATTGTAGCCATTTTAAAGTACCTCAGATATGAGATGATGGTTCTATAGAAGCCTAAAAAGAATTCTCAAGGAGAGATTCAGAAGCTAGTTGTAGGATCCCACAGTGGACCATATAAGAAACCAACAAATTGTGGTTGTAGAAGTATGTACTATTTAAACTGCTTTCATACTCTGATCTGATCATTATCTATTTTGAAAATAATGTTAGGGCCCACTGCCACCTCTCTGGCTCCAGTTTTTACTTACAGCATAGTTCCCGAATTGATTATGACATTTATCTTTTGACATCGATTGCTTGCCAAGTCCCTTTGGCCATCAGTTTCCTTAATTTATGAATGGCCTGCATTCTCATAGTTACAGATTGAGGGCCATAATGTTTCTTGGGAGGCTGCACAGTACTAGATTTTATGACAATAGGCTCGAGCCTATGCTAGAACACATTGAAAACTGCGGCAGCAATCAATTCGATAACTGAGTTTTGCACAGAAAAAATGCAGTTTATTGACTGGCCGGCTACTTGCTGCAAGCAATTGGTCTTTAAACATCACATACAAAGCTCTGATGAAATGGGTATCATTAATACTGCCATTTACCATATAGCCAAGTGGCTGTACTAGTTTGTGATCTTTCAAAACAAAACAAAAAATGTGTGACTGCACTATTATAATGCAAATCTAGATCTATATAGCAATCTAAAAAAAAAATGGCTATCTAGATCTATATAGCAATCTATCTAAATATACATATCTATATCTCTCTCAGATAATTGTGGATACTTTAATCAAATTGGTGAATTCAAGCCATCAAAAAAACCTCTCTCTACTATTTTAAAAATGAGTTCTTTTGTGTTGCAGCTGGAAGAATTTCCCATCACCTCCTATTCCTTTGACCAGGACATGAATTGATGGGATGACTCCACAATAGAACACACAGTCAGCAATTAATAAAAGTATACAGGCCCCAACCTTTTCCTACTGTACTGAACTCTAAAAAGAAAAAGGTTATTGCTGGAGTTGAGCTTTAGGGTACGCATGGAAATTCAATGACAGAGACCTGAACCCACCTTTTTGGCCAAACTGGAAGAAGAGGTACCTATCAAGGCTTCTCAAAACAAGAAGTCATTATACAGGTTAGAAAATCTAGTTCAATCACTATGGTTCCACCCAAAAAATGCTTGCATCAGGAGGATTTTGCAACATGTGTCCTTCTTACACTTCTCTGCACACGAACAATCAGTCGAGCTCATTGTCCATTTACAGATGCTCTGGAAGATACAGGTGCTCAAGGGGTAGCTGCACTGCATCTGTGGACACCTTTAGCCATAGAGAGTCTTTTATTTTTACTATTTTAGCTTATGTCGTGCACAACAAAGAATACATTATTCCTAAAGTCGCATTACATTTTTTGAAAAATGAAATCTGCCAACATTAATGCATCACCTTTGTTTGCCCATGCTCCTGTTTTCAACATAAATCTGCTCCTGCCTGTTGCTGAAATCACCATGAGTTTCATGGTGTCCATAAAT